ATGTCATCTTCTTCTATATAAGCACCTAGATAGAAAAAAGAAATATATAGAGCATAACTGTATTAGTTATAATTATTATTTTATTTTTTATTTTTCTCCCTATCTATAAAATAATAATATCTATAATAAAGGAGAACAAATCTTTGTACCCCCCTATCCACCATTACTATATAACACAACTCATCCATGATTTTAGTTCACAACTAACACAAAAACAAATAAACATACAAAAAAAGAGAAACATTTTTTTTAAAAAGTCCATCATGACGAGGAAGAAGGTGAAGCTTGCTTTCATTGAAAATAACTCGTCCAGGAAAGCAACCTTTCAAAAAAGAAAGAAAGGCATTCTGAAGAAAGTGAAGGAAATCTCGACTCTATGTGGTGTCACTGCCTGTGCCATCATCTACAGTCCCTATACGTCCAATCCAGATGTCTGGCCATCGATTTCTGGTGTGCGAAGGGTAGTTTCGGATTTCCAGACGTTGCCGGAGATGGACCAACAAAAAAAAATGGTGGACCAAGAGACCTTTCTCAGACAGAGGATCGCCAAATTGTCTGAGAATCTGAGGAGGCTGGAGAAGGATAACAGGGAGCAAGAGATGATTGAAGTCATGTTCCAATGTTGGGATGGAAGCCTGGAGAGGTTTCATCTCAATATTTTGGATCTCAATGACTTAGGTTATGTGATTGGACAATATCAAAAAGATATAAATCGCAAGATCGAGATTTTGGAGAGTTCTAGTATGGAGATGGGTGAATCTTCTAATACTGCTGTCACTGCGGCTATGGCTCATTCTTTTGAAGGCATTGGATATTTGGCAGTTGCTTCGGCTACAACTGCTCCAGCCGCTCCAGCCGCTACGATTCATGAGGTTTATTCTTCCTCCACATCCGCTGCTGCCGCAACTTTTTTTAACTCTATTCAGCAACAGCAACATCATCATCAACATCAACAATTTCGTCATCCTGCCACTCCACATGTTGGATTCTATGAGCAAACTCGAAATATGAACCTGAATCAAATTCATAGTCGGATCCAGAGTCGGATCCAGCAACAACCTTTTATGGAGATGATGAACCATCCTGACCAAATGAGTGATGCATATGAGTATATGGATAACCGCCACAACCCCAACCTCCACAACTCCTTCCACCACCACCAGCACCAGCAACAACAGCAAATCCCCAGTGATTCCTCTACTGCTCTGACCACAGTCAACTCAAGCAGTATCATCCATGTTACCAGTCCAAATCCTACCAATAATACATGGTTCCATTAGGGTTTCAAGAATAGACGTTCACATTTTAATAAGCAAAAAAATAAAATTATTCTCAAGTGCTTTTGCGATTAATTTTTTTTTGTAGCTGTTTTTAATATTGTTGTGGTTTTATTTTACTATCTGAATGATTATGATTTTTCATTTTATGGATTTGTGATGTGTCATTTTTATTTAAATAATATATGATTTCGTTAGCATTTTGAGAATAAATGTTCACAGTCTGATAAGTAAAATAAAAAACTATTCTAAAGTGCAAAATACATTTTATTTTTCTTTTAGTTTAAGTTTACCTAAGATATTGGAGTTAGAATCTAGGGTAATGGTGATTACATAATATATTACCAAATTTGGTACTAAGTTTTACATAAAATTTCAAAATGAATTTTCTAATCAAATGTCTAATTTATATTTTAGCTAAAAATAGTTGGAATGTCATTAACGCAGGTGATCACTATTTAAATGTATGTAATTTATCGTATATATGAATTTTGTATATTTAAAATATATATTTTTTAATCTATAAGAAATGTGGATTAGGGTTTATTCTATTTTTAATAGCTCCTTAACAGCAAACATTTAGCTCCTAGTTTATGTGTTTAATTGTATCTTCTTATGATGAAAAATCTAAAATCTAATAGGATCCCTTGGGACATCGTAAAAAGCTTTACAAGGGATGGTTGTTTCCAATCATATTTGGCTACGGGTGGACCAACATGGCTTCATGAGATTATATCGAGAAGTATGTGCCACAAGATATTTAAGATTGAGAAACTCGGAAGTGGAAGCATGTTGGAACCATTGGAGACTGATGCTTTATTTATATGGTTGCTTTTTTCTCTGTTTTTGTTTTACGAGATTTTTTGTTCTTTGGTTTTTGATTAATTATATTCCAACGTGAAAAAAATCTATGTAAAATATGTTGAAATATTGTTTTCGTAGAAAAAATGTTCTTGTAAAAAAATTGAGAATTATAAAAGTTTTTTGGATATTTTGTTTCATTGTTCATGGATTTTATTCTCTGCTTATATCTGTATTTTTGGATATAAGAAGATATTTTTTATCTCCTGGTTCAGGAAATAATATATATATTTTTTTATGAATTTTTTTGTTTCATATATGTATTATAGTTCTCTAGATGGATGAGGTAAATCAAGATTCATAGTCTTTCTCAACTCTCTAGCTGCGCAAGAAACAAGTAACTAATTTTCATGAAAATATATCAATGTGTACCAATTATAGATATATATATATATATATATCCGTTTGTGTTGGGTATGATTATTAATAATTAATAAAAATACATTAGCAAACTGTGTCCATATGTTTCTTTTAACATCATATATTATGAAGTATCATAGTGTCTATATAACTGATTATATTTTTTTTACAGAAGTCCATATTCATAATGAAATAACATGTTGAAGAGAGATGGAGAATATATACAGTTCTATAGATCAATATACACAAATGTACAGATCGATATAATTTTAAAGAATATAACATGCTAGCTTTTTATTTTATTTTTGTAACCAAACATGCTAGCTAATTTATCTATGCTTTAAAAGAACCCCAAATTTTCCTAAATAAAGTCTTATTCATAAAATATGTGGTTACTGAATTAAGTCTCATTAATCAAATATATGGTTACTGAGTCTATATTATAACTACATAATGTTCTCTTGCAATGATTCAACACTTAAACTAGTCAGATCTGCTATATCAGAACTGTACTCTTATCGTGTTTGACTTGCATTAAAGCATTGATCTATATTGACTCACTAAAACCATGAAGAATGTGAGAATGGCCAATATAGAATTTTAGATATATATATATATATATATTCATGTATAATCACCAATAAAATTGATAATGTTTTTTTGACACATATAGAGAGTATCTTCAGTTTGTATATGTGCATATCCATAATTATCATACGTTAGATTGGCTACTTAAACAAGAACAGTGACTTATGAAATATGTTAGTGATATATCTATCTATAGATATTAAAAAATTATAATGAATTAGTCTCAAGTTTAATCATTTAGTTTGAAAATCTTACAACAACAGTAAAAAATTAAACTTGATAAATGAATTAAATCTATGATTTATAAAGGAACTTCTCTTTTATTTCCCTTTTTTAAGTCTCAAAATATACCTTGATAAATCTTTAGGGTTAAACATATCTATACGAAAGTAATATCATAATCCCTTAAATATTATCTAAGATATAATAGGATAAGTAACCCGTTGAATGAAATAAATCAAATTTTAAAACAAAAACTTCTAAATCATAGCTTATCATTTGCTTATTTTAATGTGTATAAAGTTATACATGTAGTTTGTTTGGGATTGAATACTCTTATTGAACACTATAAAAGGAACATTTATATAATTCAATATTGAATGTGTAGAAAAACCTAAAAGGATATAGATATTCTAATTTGGAATGCGCCAAGCCAAACACATTTCTTATCGATACATGTAACACATGAATATTTTTGTAGCAAATAACGAGACACAAACTCAAAAATTAACACACTATACCACCATTTTAACCAGAACTTAATTAGATAATTGGGTTCACAAAGTTATTTAAAAGTATAAGGGTCAAAGTAATAATTTTATTCCATTCACTTCAAGACCAGGCCTATTTCGATATGAACATATATAAAGATTTAAGAAATAATTTAATGGGTAAGAACAACATGATATTTTCCAAAAACAATTATATTTGAATAGATTTTGTTACATTGTATTTCTTAATAGCAATACATAAATACATGAATCTATATTCATTTAAGAAAAAAATATTCAGTGAAAGATATACTGGCATATCTGAAATTATGAACATTAGATTATTTTAGGTAGTTTCTTCATTTAGTCAATTAATTGATAGATACATGTATTTATGTATTGCTGATAAAAAATGCAATGTAACAAAATCTATTCAAATATAATTGTTACAAAAAGAGATATACCAGTATATATTGCTATTAAAAGAGATATGCCAGTATATCTTTCACTGAGTGTAAAAACAAAATGCTATTTTTCAAAAACAAAGAGATTTGAATAGATTTTGTTACATTGTATTTCTATGAGCACTACATAAATATGTCTATCTATCAATGAATTGACCAAATGAATAATCAACCTAAAATAATAAAATGTTCATAATTCCAGATATGTCAGTATATCTTTCACAAAATATATTTTTTCATACTAATTTTTCAATATTATTAAAAGAGAAAATGTTGTCAATATTGATCTAGTAATATGTTTTTACTATTTTTCGTAAAATTAAAAAAAAATAAAAAATATTTTTAACAAGATTAAAATATAATAAAATTTTGTTTCAAAACTATTTTATTAATAATAAATTAAAAATAATTTAACTATGCAATAGTTTGATAAATGTATAACTATTTTGTTTTTCAAAATTGTATAAACTCTTGGTAAAATAATTGATTTTTGATTAATCAAATTATTCTATTTATTTATGGAAATTTTTGATCTAAGAAAATAAGATTTTTGACTTAAGTATAATATATACTCAGATTTATTACCAAGTGTGAACTTATAATCTGACAACTACAACACAAGCTGGAAAAAAAATATTCTCTCATGTTTTCCAATTTTGAATCTATTTTCAACTTCCATTCCCTAAACTACATTTTTATCATTTAAAAAACACCAACTATTTTTATATCTTTAGACTCCTATAATTTAAGTTATGAAAAAAATCACTCTTCAAAATGGCTATTTTATGTTTCTAACCTAGATATAATATATAAATTCAAAACATTAGATTTTTAACTATGAACTTAAGCGAATAATATTTATAATGCTTTAGTTTGTGGTGACTTTACAAGTCAAAATAAATCACATTCAAAGTTTCCAGTAAAGAAAACTAATTCCAGAAATATATTAAAAAGAAACTTTGACCCATTTACTAAACCAAATCTTAGATATTATCTCAAATATCTACAAATATTTTTTTTTAACATTAATGTACACTTTTTACTAATGTCATCTTGTTTATATAAGTGACTAAGATAGAAAAAATAATTAAATAGGATTCATAACTGTATTAGTTATAATTATTATTTTATTTTTTATTTTTCTCCCTATCTATAAAATAATAATATCTATAATAAATGAGAACAAATCTTTGTACCCCCCCTTTCCACCATTACTATATAACACAACTCATCCATGATTTTAGTTCACAACTAACACAAACAAATAAACATACAAAAAAAGAGAAACATTTTTTTAAAAAAGTCCATCATGACGAGGAAGAAGGTGAAGCTTGCTTTCATTGAAAATAACTCGTCCAGGAAATCAACCTTTCAAAAAAGAAAGAAAGGCATTCTGAAGAAAGTGAAGGAAATCTCGACTCTATGTGGTGTCACTACCTGTGCCATCATCTACAGTCCCTATACGTCCAATCCAGATGTCTGGCCATCGATTTCTGGTGTGCGAAGGGTAGTTTCGGATTTCCAGACGTTGCCGGAGATGGACCAACAAAAAAAAATGGTGGACCAAGAGACCTTTCTCAGACAGAGGATCGCCAAATTGTCTGAGAATCTGAGGAGGCAGGAGAAGGATAACAGGGAGCAAGAGATGATTGAAATCATGTTCCAATGTTGGGATGGAAGCCTGGAGAGGTTTCATCTCAATATTTTGGATCTCAATGAATTAGGTTATGTGACTGGACAATATCAAAAAGATATTAATCGCAAGATCGAGATTTTGGAGAGTTCTAGTATGGAGATGGGTGAATCTTCTAATACTGCTGTCACTGCGGCTATGGCTCATTCTTTTGAAGGCATTGGATCTTTGGCAGTTGCTTCGGCTACAACTGCTCCAGCCGCTCCAGCCGCTACGATTCATGAGGTTTATTCTTCTTTCTCATCCGCTGCTGCCGCACCTTTTTTTAACTCTATTCAGCAACAGCAACATCATCATCAACATCAACAATTTCGTCATACTGCCACTCCACATGTTGGATTCTATGAGCAAACTCGAAATATGAACCTGAATCAAATTCATAGTCGGATCCAACAACAACCTTTTATGGAGATGATGAACCATCCTGACCAAATGAATGATGCATATGAGTATATGGATAAC